AAACAAGGCTCATCCTGCTGGGTGGATTGGCACACAAAGGTGGAATGTTGGCGCTAGATGAAAGGTAGACCTATTTTCTACAATGTCTCCAAGTTCCATCTTATTCTAACCGCTTGTTTGCATGTAACTAACATTTTTCTATATCATGTGGGTTTTTTCTCTTTAATGCTCAGCAGCTCAGGTATAGGGGACAGTTAGGTTCAGGGCCTCAGGTCTGGTAGGGTTAAGCCACCTGCTTTGTGGTGCTTTGTTAAAGCAGCTCTAGGAAACTAAAACAGTGACCAATCCCACTCATGCCTAACATAACTCATAGATCTTTGTGAAATTCTCCGGGGTAAGATCAGAAACAAGCACCTTAACATGAAGCTGTATGATTTGAAATTAATAAACACTAAACATAGACACCAAATAATGTGTCAGTCTTCATCCAAGAGGAAGATAGTAATAATCCACCATCTCTCTGTTTTTCTGGAAGGGGTGAGCTATAAACCTGTCTGTGGGCAGATAGGAAAATCAGCTTTCCTTTCACTGAGACCAGTGGGTTCTATAGGAACAAGGGGGCAATCTTTGGGCACATACTACACACCTGGAACATTTGCATCTTCACTTCCATGGATGTCTTCCCAACCCAGCTAACATGGCCACTGAACTTGATATCCTGTTCCGGGCTTAAGCAATTCTTACACAAATCTGCAAAACAGAAAATCAATTTGAGTCCAAATCATACCCCAAATTGTCTGTACCGTAAATGGACAATTTTGTTTGAAATTGTGGCAAATTCTACTACATTTCCTTTTTGTCTTCAAAACTAAAAATTATTTTTTGACATGCAAAAGAAATTTGTGTCTTTTTGAAAAATGTAGATAATGCAAAGACTATAAAAAATAAAACTGGAACCATGTAAAACCAAAAATAATTATAATAAATATATTGGTATATAGCACTCTAGACATTTTCATATGCATATATACATAAAAATTGCCTCACAAAGGGAAATATTTCCTCTAATCACAGTAATATCTTGTCATTACTAAGAATTCTGAGTATGCATAGAAAATAGTATCACTTACCAATCTTGTCCACAAGAGCCGTAACTATCGATAAAGGAGACATCTCAGCTGAAGGAATTTTGGTGTGCATGTAGCAAATAAGAACTGAAGGAAAAGAGAAGAGACCCAAATAAAGGAAAAACAAAATTATTTCTCAACATTTATAATTTACTCCCTTAAATCCATAAAAAGTCTGATCTTATTTTGAAGACCCAATCCCCCATGTTCGTCTAGTGGTCTTATCCTAGGCCCCAAGACTTCTACACATTGAAGAGATTTGGGAATCCTCTCATCCCACTGCTCACTCAATTTTGGATTTGGTGAGGAAACCATAGCCCAAAGTCCAGACCCACCAGGTGGCTTGTCACCACTCCACAGAGACACAGAGCCTAAATCAGAAAAAGATCCCCGCACTAAGTCTGACAGCATCAAACACCTTCAGAAGAGAAACAGATCGCAAGGACTCAGCTACCTGACTCTTTCCTAATCATGAAGCAATTATGTTGCTCAGACTATCCCACCTTCCCCGTAACACCCTCGGCTCCTACACCACCCTGTGGTTATCCATATGCTTTCCATATCTTAACAAGACTTTGTAGGTGCCAAGCATGTCCTAATGCACCTTACAAATGTCAACTCATTCAAAGTGGTATACTGTGTTTAGCGACCTCCCTGCCTCCCCAATGATTCATTCAGATTTGTATCGTCAACTCTCAGGACTGGGTCTGTGCTCAAGAAATATTTGCTGAATGACAATAAATCTTTCCATCTGTGAGCCTGTTAAAGGATGTACTAGGGCAGGGGTCAGCAAACTGCAGCTTGCCAGCCACATGCGGCTCTTTGGGTACGCACATGTGGCTCTGAAGTAAAATTAAAAATGAAAATAAAACTTTCATAGTTTCATTTATAAAATATATTTCTTTTAATTGGGGACTTGGGAGAGGGGAACAGTGTTGGGGAATTGGGAAAGGGGACCAGCCAAGTTGTTGTTCATCAGTCTTCGTTGTGGAGGGCGCCGGTCACCATCTGGCTGCCCTTCGGCAGCTCATGGCCTCTGAGCTCAAGGTGCTGTGTTCAATCTTAGTTGTGGGTGGGCACAGCCACCATCCATGTGGGAGTCGAACCAGCAGCCTTGTTGTTAAGAGCACATGCTCTATCCACTGAGCCATCGAGGCGGCAGCTCAGCTCAAGGTGCCGAGTTCAGTCTTAGTTGCGAGCAGGCATAGCCCACCATCAAACAGACAGTCTTGTTGTTAGGAGCATGTGCTCTCACCAGCTGAGCCATCCTGCCACCTGTTGGCAGCTCAGAGGCAGCTCAGCTCAGGCACAGTGTCACTGGCCCATGTGGGAATCGAACCGGCAGCCCTGATGCTCAGAGCTCGCACTCTTAAGCTAACTCTTAACCAACTGAGCCACTCGGCTGGCCCTATAAAAATTTTAAAGGATATTATTTACATAATGGTGATTTCATTTGTTTTATGGCTCTCAAATAATTTTTAAATTGTTGTGAGGGACAGGATTGGCTCTGCCATCTCAAAAGTTTGTTGACTTCTGTACTAGGGGAATGAAAGGCTAAAGGTAAGCAATTCCATTTAAAAGTCTTTGAGGTACCCAAAAAGAAACCACATGCTTCTGAGCTATGGCACTAACAGTAGAAATGAAGAGAAAAGGTCCAAGAGCAAATAAGAAGGGAGACTTGACAAGATTTGACTCAACTCAGGTTTGCAGCTTGCATAAGTGAAGATGATGTCCTATTCGCCGAAAACGTGAATACGGGAAGAGCAGAACGGGCTGTTTTCAACATGCTGAATTTGAGAAGCCTATGGCCTAACCAAATGAAGATGTCCAGTAGGCAGGAGATGGTCTGGAACTCAGAAAGGCAGGCCAGGAAATGTACCTTCCTAAATATTCCACATACTGATAGCAACTAAAGCACAAGGAGTAAAAGATTATTTCTAGGGACTATTTAGATAACAAAAATAGGGGAGAAGACAAAACCCTAGGGATAACTGACATTTAAGGGATCAACAGAGAATGAGGAGCCTACACAGCAGACGAGGAAGGAGCAGCCAGAGAGGTGGGAGGAAATGGCACCGAAACCCAAGGATAAGTCTGACTATATCAGGAGCTGCGAAGGGGCTGGGTAAGCCCTGAAAAGCACCCCGTAGATCATACAATATGAGGGCCGATGGAGAGCTGGGCAAGAGCAGTTCAATGGCACAAGAAGTAGGATCCAGAACATGGCAGGCTGGAAAATAACAGGTCAGGATATAGAGGCAGTGAGAGCAAATGTTTTTTTTTTTTACTAATTCTTTCCAGAAAGTTAGCTCTGAAGTGAAGGAGAAAGACAGTTGGAGAGAGTTACAGGGAAGGGGATTTTACCTATTTTTCGTTTTAAATGGATGAGACTTGAATATGTTTATAAGTTGAAGGAAGTGAAGTTGAGAAAAGGTCTGAGATATTAGTGAGGAAGCATACGTGATAAGGCACATTCCTTGAAAAATGGAAGGAATAGAATTAAGTGAACAGGTGAAAGGGACTGGCCATCAGCAGGAGGTAATGAGGAAAAAACAGGGGAGTGGCAGAGGACTGTGTGGATTTAGGGTCACCTAAATAAACCAAAGTCAAATATTTGTGTGTGTATAATTATTTTAACGGCCAATAAGTATTTTTAACCAGGTTTATTTAATCTGAAGAAAAAAGGAGCTAGGTGTAAGCCTAACAATGGATTTATGGCTATATTTTAAAAGTTATTAGAGGGGCAGCTGGTTAGCTCAGTTGGATAGAACACAGTTCTCATAACACTAAGGTTGCTGGTTTGAACCCTGCATGGGCCACTGAGTTGCACCCTCCACAACTAGACTGAAACAACTATTCGACTTGGAGCTGATGCATCCTGGGAAAACACACTGGCCCCCCCCCGAAGAAAAAAGTTATTGGAGCCTTTCTTTTTTTTTTAAGATTTTTTTATTGGGGAATTGGGGGATGGGGAACAGACAAGTTACTGTCCTTTTGTTCTTCAGTCTAGTTGTGGAGGACGTTGCTTCACTGGCCCAAGTTGGCACCATCATTGCGCTCTTCCTGGGCGAGGCAGATCAGTCGCCGGCTTCTGGACGGCCGCTCACTGCGGCTGCTGGCCGCTCACGCTGGCTGCTGGCTACACACGGTAGCCCATGGCAACCCACTGCAGCAGGGGCTGCAGCCTACGCTGTCGCCGGCAACTCATGGCAGCCCAGCCCCAGGTTGAGCTGTTGTTCAGCATCTTAGCTGTGGAGGGCAGTGTCACTGGCCCTCATATGTGGGATCTGAACCGGGACCCTCTGGCGTCCCAAGCCAGTTCTTAACCATCGCGCCACTCGGCCGGCCCTGGAGCCTTTCTTTAAACCCTTTCCCACCAGCTCAGGCCAGAAGTCATTAGGCAGGAGCAAGCCAGGCGGCCCAGGGTGGGCTGCTGAAGTCCAAGTGAGGTCAGGAGGAAATGGAGAGAAGCAACAAAAGCCACGGCCCAGCATGGTGCAGCCTGAGCACAATTAGGGGGGTGACCTGCAGAAGGGGACCTGGCATGGGCTCGAGCCCCAGTGACGTGAGGGAAGCGTCCAAGACAGGCTACAGGTGGTGATGTATTGCGGGGGTAAGTAAATGCAGGAAGGATGATGGAGCCAGTTGAAGAAGGGAATTACAAATATAAAAGGGGAGGAGATAAGAATGAACCTGTGATGCTGAGCTGGAACTACCAGTGTGAACCCATGGTTTTCACAGACAGACAGATAGGCACAGAGATAAATGTGTATGTGCATATATTCCTCCAGCTTGCCCACTGAAAGGGCATGAGAGCAGTCATACTCCAGCAGCAATGACCACTTCCACCACCCTGGTCTTGGTTTCTAAGTAGCATTCTCCATTTAAAAAAACAGGGCTCCTCAGAGATTTGGCTGATTTCAGGACCGGGGCAGGGACAGTACAAATGAGCCTAGACTATCTGGCTGTGCCAGAAAGTGACGAAGTACTCCAAGAATGATGGGGACACATCAAGAAAACACAGAAGCCAGCTTGAAGGGAGAGGGACAGTCCTGGGACAATTCGAGCATCCAAATAGATGACAGTAACATATTATAACCCATTCAATAAAATAGGAATCTCTGCGTCCCTACAGATGTTAAAGTAATAAACTGAATGTCTGATGAGGAATGGGATATTTACAAGGCCTCAAAGTACCTCCCTACAAGGTACTTATCCGTTACAAAGGGGAAAAGAGTAACTTTATAGTGAAGAAGCCTGGAAGACACCACTTTCATCAGGAATCACAGTAATAGGACACATTATAACTATGTACCACTTGATAAGATACAGTAAGAACACAGCATCCCTTCTGTGCCATTCCTGCCAAAGATGCATGTCCCGAATCTACTATTGGGGAAGCATCAAACAAACCCAAATTGAGAGAAATTCCACAAAAGAATTGGCCTATAGTTTTCAAAAGTGTCAAGGTCATGCAAGTCAGAGAAAGACAATTATTCCTGATACAACAACTAACTAAATGCAACGTGTGATTCAGAACCGGATCCTTCTGCTATAAAGGCTCACTGGTCAAAGTTAAATGGGGTCTGAGGATTAGACAGTCTAATGTAGCAGGATTCATTTCCTGATTTTGATGGTTGCATTGTGGTTATACAGGAGAACGTCCTGGTTGGTAGGCAACAGACATGAAGCTATTTGGGGGTGATATGCATGTCAGCAACATACTCTCACATGATTCAGGGAAGAATAATTCTTTGAGCTTATTTGCAACTTCTCTGTAAACTTAAGACTTCTTAAAAAGGTATTAAAAAGAAGGATTAATCAGATAATAACTCTATTAAATAGGAAGCTACATTTTGGGGGAAAAAATATTATGACAATTCAGAGGCAGTGAACGTCCTCCTTTTTCTGTTCTTTCAGAATACGCTCATTTGTGCAAGTTAAAGAATAAAGGACGGACGGCCGAGTGGCGCGATGGTTAAGAACTGGCTTGGGATGCCAGAGGGCCCCGGTTCGGATCCCACATATGAGGGCCAGTGACACTGCCCTCCACAAAAGGACAGCAACTTGTCTGTTTCCCTTCCCCCAATTCCCCAGTGCTGTTCCCATCCCCCAATTCCCCAATAAAAAAAATCTAAAAAAAAAAAAAAAGAATAAAGGAGCCCTTTTCAGCCATAGGGTTCGATGTGTAGCCATTACGTATCTATTTAGAAAACACTAAAATAATACCAGTACCTCCTAAGCTGTCAAGATCCTCAAGGATCCTGCCAAATCTGTGAAATAAAGAAAAGTGGGATTAAATGAAAAATCATGATGACTGCCCTTTAAAAGGAAATAACACACTTTGGGATGATGAAAAATTTCTAAAATTGATTGAGATGATGGATGCACAACTCTCTGAATATACTAAAAACCACAGAATTGCACACTTTAAATAGGTGAATGGTATGGCGTATGAATTATATCTCAAAGTTGCAATAAAAAAGAAGTCATTCAAGCAAACAAAAACAAACAAAAAAACAAACATAAAGAAGTAAAATAAAAACAAATAACACATATATATTGTCAGAGGATGTGGAGTATAGTGTGGGGAGTGGAGTCAATGGAATTGTAATAGATATGTATGATATTGGGGGGGAGTCGGGTGGTGGATTGGGGGAGGGGGGTTGTCACTTTGTGAGGTGTAAAAAGTATAACTAGTGCTTTGTTTTGTACACCTGAAACTAATAAAAAATAAGTAAAACAAATAACACAAATAAAAATAGTGCTGTGTTACCTTACGGTGTTCTGAACAGTCAAATACTTCTCGCGTAATGCAGGCTCAGTGCCCAAAGGCAAGAGAACTTCGATATAACTGTCTTTCATTCTCCTAGGTGGCAGTCCTTCCTGTGAATTAGCCAAAAAGCTATGAAGTAATTTTCTCTCTTCCATTGCTTTCACATGGTCTCTGAGAAGAAAGGATGAAAGCTTCATGAAATGGGGGCAGTGCTATCCTTTCATTCCAGTGACATATAGGCCAATCAGGCACCAGCAAAGGAGGAAAGAGAAGGTCTGGACCTACCTCATCTCCTCTTCCTCCCTCCCTTCCCACCTGCCACTTGATGAAATTAAAAATTTCTGTTAAAATTTCTTAGGCTAGTAAATAAGAAAAACATACTTATAAGGGCTATATATATATATATATATATATATGCAAATGAAGCATATATTCACACTCATCAAAAAATGTACTGAAGTCGGGCCGGCTGAGTGGCTCAGTTGGTTAACAGCGTGAGCTCTGAGCAACAGGGTCGCCGGTTTGATTCCCACATGGGCCAGTGAGCTGAGCCTGAGCTGAGCTGCGCCCGAGCTGAGCTGCCAACAGGTGGCAGGATGGCTCAGCCAGTAAGAGCACATGCTCCTAACAACAAGGTTGCCAGTTCGACTCCCGCATGGGATGGTGGCTGCGCCCACCTGCAACTAACACTGAACACGGCACCCTGAGCTGAGCAGCCACGAGCTGCCGAGGGGCGGCCAAATGGCGACTGGACTTGGAGCTGAGCTAGCTGCGCCCTTCACAACTAAGACTGGAGGACAATAACTTGGCTGTTCCCCTTCCTTCCCCAATTCCCCAATAAAAAATCTTTTTTAAAAAAGTACTGAATAGGGCCGGCCAAGTGGCGCGATGGTTAAGAACTTGCTTGGGATGCCAGAGGGCCCCGGTTCGGATCCCACATATGAGGGCCAGTGACACTGCCCTCCACAGCTAAGATGCTGAACAACANCACCTTGGGCCAGTGAAGCAACGTCCTCCACAACTAGACTAAAGAACAAAACGACAGCAACTTGTCTGTTCCCCTTTCCCCGATTCCCCAGCACTGTTCCCATCCCCCCAATTTCCCAATAAAAATCTTTAAAAAAAAAAAAACAGAGAGAGAACAGGCTAGAGGCCGGCAGACGAGTTAACAGACGGTTCACACAAGCGGCAGTGAGGGCTTGGATGAAGCACAGGGACCTAGGGGAAGGGGAAACAACTCTGGTGAGTTGCTGAGGGTGATGAATTTGCAAGACTTGGCGAGGGCTGCCCAGGAAAGGGAAAAATGAAAGCCATCACAAAGGTTTGGAGCTCAGGAGCCAGGCAGCTGGCCAGGAGAAACTAGAGGAAGATCGGGGCTGGAAAGGAAGCTGACGAACTCAGTTTAAAACAAACTGGACTAGAGGTAGCAAGAGCATACGTGGGGGGAATACAACAGGTACTCAGTAAGGTAGATCTGAAGGTCAAGCCCAGAATAGAGCTTCGGGCCCATCTGCACAGTAACGATAGTAAATTTACATTATTCCAACAATTGAGCAATGGTTACTGTGTGACGGGCAACGTGCCAACTACCTCATATGGGTGGGCTGTTTTTCCTTTCACCCTTACCACACCATCGAATGTGGTACTATTACTGTTTCCGTGTTGCACTTCAGAAAACAGAGGCTCAGATAAGGTGATTTACCCAGAGTCTCATGGCTAATAAGCAGCAGGGCTGGGATTTGAACCTATGTGCACCCAAACCCGAGTCAGAGTACCTATTGCCAAGCTTCCTCTCTGGAATAGAAAGGGTCAGTCGAGTATGAGTTATTAGACAAAATGGCCCATGAAAATTGCAAATTGCAAACAAAGTTTGTCCTTGCATAACATTGATTTTCATTGGCTCTTTCCTCCCAATAAGTCCTGTGTTTCTTTTTCAACCTACTTGTCCAAGATTCAAATCATCAAGATTCCCTAGAAACCTGGTTCTATGGCAGAAATCTGCTGTGCATGGCACTGAGCAGGCTAGGAATCAACCGTGAAGATCAAAAAAGAATATGGACCAATCATAGCAGCATCCCCAACTTTATTATTCGCTTTAAAATAGTATTACTGTTGGTTACAGTAACATGGGAGCCGAAGAATCCACCTGCTTAAATACAGCACCAAATACAAAACTACCTATTTTGACAAATAACTTTAATCACTGCAGAGCAAGCTTTAGACTTTTTCCAAAAGGTGAAACACTTCATAATTCTTTGACAGGAAAAGTGTATCTGAATAACAGATCTACTGAAAATGCTGGCATAACTAAGTCATTCAAATAAGTTTTCAAAATGGCATCTTGGACATACTCTGAATTATTTGATTTCTGTGCTATTAATATTATCCTCTTTGAGGTACTGTTTCTTGTCAAATTTCTTCATTTCTTTATAATAGCTATTCTGTGTTTTGTTCATTAGAGGGGCTGTTTCTAACTGCTGTAATAGTCTAACTTCTGGGTTGAATTGTGTCCCCCCAAAAGATATGTGAGTCCCAACCTTCAGTAACTATCAACGTGACTTTATTTGGAAATAAGATTGTTGCAGATATAATCAGTTAAAGTGAAGTCATAGTGGAGTAGGGTAGGCCCCAATCCAATATTATCAATGTCCTTATAAGAAGAGACACAGACACACAAGGGGGAAAATGCCATGTGACAATGGAGGCAGAAATTGAAGTGTTACAGCTACAAACTGAGGAATGCCAAGGATTGGCAGCAAACCACCAGAAGCTAGCAAGAAGCAAGGAAGGGTTCTCCCCTACAGGTTTTAGAGGGAGCACGGTCCTGCCAAGACCTTGATTTTGGACTTCTGGCCTCCAAACTGAGACAATTTCTGTTGTATTAACCCTACCAGACCGATGTACTGATTTTTCGGTACTTTCTAATCATATGTTATCTAATCATATCTGTGTTGTGTGCATGGAAAAGCACT